GCACAGGGAAAAGTTAATAGCAAAAGCAGAACTTTCTACTACATCTGCATTCAACAGCTCCCTGAAACAAAGTACTATTGGATTACATTTTCTCAGTTGAGTGTTTGTGTGAAATTCTAGAGCCATCTAGACAGGATTAAATAGGATAAGAGTGTTGCCCATGATAATAAACATTAAATCCATTGACTGAAAGACAGACAGAGGATGATCTTGTTTGTGTGTGTGTGTGTGTGTGTGTGTGTATGTACATATGCATCATGTTCCCCTGCATGTGGTGGCCCCTGTAGGCTTGAGTGATTTGACTGCATTTCTGGCAGAGCCTATTATTCTGCATGCACACAGCCAAACACTTTAAATATTTATTACATTGGAGCAGAGGGATGCTGCAAATGTGGATTGCTGGTAACAATCTCGTCCAAGCATTTTCGTAGTACAGTGTAGATGTAATTTCAAAATGGAACAGAAGTCCAGAACATGCGCATTCACGCACACATGCATACACACATTGTGGCTCATTTATGTTATGCTTCTTATTGATTATTACCAGATGGAAGGGCAAAGCAGTAACTGACAGATTAACCATATGGAACTGCTTTAATTTACCCTGAGTTATAGGTTTGCAATTCTCTCTTCTCACTTTTTGGCTCAGAAGCCTACAATTTGCTAAGTGGGAAAAAATGTAAATTTACTGTAAGGAGCACATTTCCATCATAAGCCTCCTAATGCCACTCTTAGGGGCTGAGCTATCTTTCTCTACAAGAACTGCAGTTCCAGCACCACTTCCTAAAGCCACAGTCAGTACCATGAACAGGAAATTTTGTTGCGGACCAATGACCAAAAAAGTGCAGACAATAGATCCTAACTGAAGAAGCTTTGTTTAAGATTCTGCTTTTCACAAAGCTGCTTCAGCAAGTCTCATATAACATTCCAACAAAAATCCAGAGGCAGCAGTCAAGGCATCATTCTATTCTGAAAACTGGGAGACCTCAGCAGTTCATTTGAGCTTCAAAGCCTCGGCTCTGGGGGCCTTCTAAATACTTACTCTTTCTACAAGAGTTAGGTATAGCAGGAGCTACAAATTCTCTCAAAGTAACGAATGAAAACACAGTCTCCCCACACAGCTGTAACCTTTTGAGACATAAGCATTATGCATTAGAAGGATGGAGTGTCAATGGATACTTCAGGGATGCTTAAAAAAAAAGAGGACTAATTGATTAAAAAAGCTTTTTGGTCTGTCCACTAAAAGTAGATTGGAACAATGTATTTTCAGCACAGTTTAACCTTTAATTTCTATTGTTTTGATTTTACAGTCATGTCCATCCCACTTCCAAGAGCAGAGGGCAAACATCTCTCTACTGCTCATAAGTTTTACTTATATACACCACTACAGTTTTCTAACCTTTCTGCTTTTCCAATCCATCACTTATGCCTACTGCCAAACAAGTAGCTGCAGGCTTTTCAGTTCTCTCTAAATCAATAAAAGAGCTCTAAAAGCAGTGTCATGGGCATCAGAGAAACAACATACAGGGTCAAGACAGAATGAAAAGGAGAGATGCAAACTAGAAAATCAGCTGTAGAGAGAAATGTGTACCATGCTTCAATGTGCTGTTCATCTCTTCTGAGGGTTACAGGCAGATTCCAACCTTTTTGACAATAAAAGGCCTTTCTTTCAGTTCTTGAGTTAAGAAAAACTGTGATAGCCGGAATTTGCAATTAGTTAGAGCTTTGTCCCTCAGTTTTATGACTCCTTCTGTGCAATCTTGGACAGCTGAGGGATTTTATTCAATTTTCTTATCCCTAAAATGGGAATAAACACTAATTCATGCACAATAATTTCTAGGGGAATTAGCAAAGCATTTTCAAACTCATACTTAAAAGCTATGCTCCATCTACTCTGCCTGGACATAACTCTAAAACCACAAAAAAGCTGAGAAGGTTGCACCCTCTCTGGTAAACTATTCTCAGTTGAAAATTTAATAGCCTGCTGGAACAAATAGCAAAAGCCCTGCTGATTCTAACACAGTTAGAATTTCACCCCACTAAACAAATTTCCTGATGGAAGTCATGCACTTCAAACATTTGCACAGTAAAGCCATATATATTCAGTTTCAGAAAGGTATTTGTAATTCATGCATGACTGATGCTTTACAATAAAAAGGATAAAATGTCAGTGTTCTGTGGAACCTGTACAAAATGTGTTGGTTGGCTTTAAGATCATGCTATTTATAAAAAAAAAAAATCTATTTTAAAATTCAATGTCTGCTAGAGCAAGGCATCAATTTTCTATTATCATTGTTGATAAAAGCTAACATCTTAACACTGCAACACAGATAATCAATGTCCAAAGACACACTTTAGAAAACATACAGACATTTGTAGCACTTTCCTCAGCACAAGAGGAATTTACGAGCAGGAAATTTTTCAATGTACTCCTACACTTTGGTCACCTTCCAAGCCTGTGACAAAAGCAGTTTGGGAATCTATAGCTCTCACGTCCCTGTGCATTAGCAAATAAAGCACACTGTTTCCTTTTGTGCATGTGCTGCTCTGATAGAAGGTAAGAAGCTATCTTACAGAAACTAATATTTCACCATAGATAAAGGAATATTACAGATGCTTCCCTGAAGGTAAGCAACAAAGAGTAATATATGAGAGCTTCCCTGGACAGTGGAAGCTCTGTGTGAGATGACTTGTGTGCCCACGAGCACTGCTTACACCTCTGTGGAGAAACAAGAAGACATCCTGGTGATACAGCCTTGGTCATTTACTCAATGACACAGCTCCTCATTATTGGAGCATGCTGGCCCTTATTTATAAATGGTCTCTCAGGAGCCACACTGGCAGAAGCTTGGAAAGAGGCAGAGCTGTACTGAGGTCCTTCATTTTTGGCCTAAGGCTACTGCATTTGTGCATTACCTCTGGAACAATTCATAAGATGCATTGAGGGTTCTTTGGATTCAATCACACAGGAGGAAAAAGACTCAGGTTATATAGTACACATAGGCATAAGGGCACAATGGACACACTGGCAACCAGGTTAAAATCCTCCAACTGTAGCCATAAAGTACAGGCATGCAGCAAATGCCTTTTTCTAACAGAAGACAAAAAGTTTACTTTTTTTAGAAAGCAGCTTGGAGGCCAAACTCAGTGCAGAATATGACAGGGTAGATGTCTTTCAACTCTATGAGTCCACAAATCCTAACATTCACACTAAAAAGTCAAATTCAGAAATGCTGTGTTTCAAACTGCTTTCACCAAACCAGAAAAAAAAAAAAGCAACTAACCTCCAAAAGACAGCTTTGCTTCCAAGTTTTCCATCTGTATTTCAACTCAGAATTTCAGGCATACCTATTCACTGCTACGTAAATCATAAGAATACCTGAGTGTGATTTAAATGACAATGTGGGTGCAAGCCCCTCCAGTACAGGCAGGAGCTGTGTTATGTGCTTTCTTGAGATGCCACATGTAGTGTACTACACAAATATTCAGATCACAATTGTGTTGGTAGATGTGGCTCAAATGTACTCAGCAGCTCTCCTGGGTTTCTTGATTTAGCTGTTTCTATACCAGGAAAAAGCAATATCACTTCTCACACCTGGTAAACATGCCACTTACATGTCCATGTACCAGTGCTTAGTGAAAACATATGGATGTCTCCATACACAAAACTATGTAAGATACTTTAGTTGTATCAGTTATACTGGTTAAGTAGATGTGCATATGATTTGTAAAAATCCTTGCAACACTGCCCAAAGTCCCAAGTTTGTGTTCTGGCACATCTGTGACAACAGATTAAAACTAGAGACCCAGGTGTTCTTCTGCAGCTTCCTGACAGATGCTGCTAGGCAGTGAAATGGACCTAAATCAAAGCTGTGGGCTATAACCCCTTCAACTGTCTAGTTTTAATCCATTGCTACAAATCTGCTGGATACCACAGAAGCAGTTATATTGTCCAAAAGTGCTTTTGTCAGTATAGCTCATTTCACACATTGAACCATTGTAAACAATGCTAGCCCTAGCACTTTTTTGCTAGTTTAATTCTGATTCCATTATTAGGGTTTTACTGGAAAGTTATCCAGTAAAGCTATCTGTAAAGCAAGGTCTTTCATTAGGAATGAAACTGCTAACAAGTTTGACATTTAAATTACCATTACTAGCCAGCTGAGTTATCTTGCTAAAATGAATGAGCCATTTAGACCTCTCAGAACTATTGCTGCAAGCTCTTTGTTCTCCCCACTGTGATTAAAGCTCCTGATGGTTTTGTTGTTTGTTTTCCTTTTTTCAAGCAGAACCCATAAAAACATGGGTTTTTGAAAAATTCAAAATTCAGAGTACCAAGCTATTGGTACAAAATGGTGCCTGACATGATCTGCTATAATTTTCAGACTTTCTCCAAGCACTTACCTACAACAGGGGAAAAACCCCTAGGTTACCTGGAAAGCTCTCAAGCTCCTGCTTTGCCCAAGAAAATATGATAAGAACAATCTCATTTTAAATGCTCAGATTCCCTCCTATGTGACTTTGGGCAAATATTTTTATTTTCCTTGCTGCTGTTTTCCTCTCTGATGAAAGGGTCTGGCTCTCTTCCTCTTACCAGCCTGCTGTGATGGACCTTGCAGGTCACTACATGAGTAGGGAGAGCAATATCCATCTTTCAAATGCTTTAAGAAAACAAAAAATAACAATTTACTTTTGATAAGAGATTGCTACCAAAAAAAAAACCTATAAAAACATCAGTTGTGCTCTTTCTGGCTGCTGCTCTACTGAGTTGAATCTTTTTGGTTGAAAGCTACAGAAGTCCTGTTGTGACAGCCATAGGGACTCTTAGCTGAGACTGGCTACATGATGGAATGCTGCAGGTGTTTACATGGATCAGAAAAAATGTACTGTGGCAGCTCCTGAGAAAGTAGCAAACTGTACGTTTGAAAGCCTGTGAAAGAATCAAGCTGCATACTGAAATAAAGGCATTTGATCATCCAAGAAACATGGCCCTGACTCACCCAAGGATGTTTTGGGACAGCTCCAAGCTGTATTCAAGTCACATGATGGCTTTACTGCTTGTCAAAAATCAGGACAGCTCTATTTGCCTTGGGTTAACTGGTTCACATGGTCCTTTCCCACAAGTGATCTCATGTAGCTGTTCCTTAGGATGTCAACTTTGCAGGGAAAAAAAAAGCAAAAAAAAACAATTACAGAAATTAAAACCCCACAGGTTTAAGAATTTGATGGGGAGAATTAAAATACACAGACCTCATGGGTAATCAATATCCTGGTTTCTTTAGACTTACTTGTTAATTCAATAGACTGTGGATGACAGTATAAAAGTGATTCCAGATTCTGAAAAAATCTTGAAAAAGCAGTGGTTACTAAATAAACATAGGCAGCAGAAGAGTGCTCTTAATTTTGTACATAAAAGGAGAAAAAAAGACACAGGAGAAGCCTTGACATTCCTCTTCTGTGGACACTAACACGGCCCAGAATTACAATCTCATCTCACCTGCTTCATGCTTCAAAGTGTAATGCCTGTGAATGAAAGCAGCCCTGTCCCACATTCTTCCCTGTTTGCTTTCATTATCTGCAGCATGCTCGCTCAGGGGCTGACTGATGTGTGTAATTCACACTCTAGAGCATCATGGCCTCATAAGTAACAGCTGGGAAGAAAGAGATTTTTGTAAAATACAATCAGAATTAGAAGGCAAGGATTTTAACTAAAGCTAGGTCTTCTGATGCATATTTCTGACAGCTCTTTCACTTGCACTAAATGCTTCAATATGTACAAAAATCTGCATTATTTAAGACAGCTGGTTTCCTTTGCCATCAAGTGATTATGAAGATGCATTTTTATAGTTTGAAAGCTACTATGCTAACTTGGTGCCATGTATTTGAAAATTGCTTGCTAGAATAAACAAACTAAACCAAAAAAACCCACACTATTTTCATTTGCTGCCCTTTTTTCACAGGACATTGCAAGGATTCTTGAAGAGTAGAGGAAAAAGGTGGCAGGAGCATTTTCTAATGGAGATAAATATAGAGCTACTTTTTCAGAATTGTGAGAGCTGCAGACAGTAAAAATACACACAAGGCCAGGCATAAAACAGAATAAGGCAGAAATTCAGAAAACAGGTGAGGCTTGGTATAGCGTCTCAAGGGAAAATGAGGAATACTATTAAGCTTTATTCTTTGGGTTCATGTAGCTGCCAGAGATTAGATGTTTGCTGGGTTTCACCCACAGGTGGCCAGACAACATTTGGCAGTTTCACTTCAAGATTGTTTGTAGTCAAATTTAGTGCCAAATATAGTGACATTCTCATATCAGATTCAAGAGCTTGGTGCTCAGGCCCTGCTCAGAGGGTGAAGAATTGGGGTAAAAAAATGCAAGCTCACAGGTATAAAAATCAAAGAAAATAAAAACCCTTACACAGGTTTTTTCCTCTTTCTCCCTTTTTATTTTTTTCCCTTCTACGTTTTTTGTCTTCTTTTTTTCTTCTTTCAAAGCTACTGTACTGGTTCTGCATGATACACTGATCAGACTGACTTAAGAATTTCACAGAGATAGCTCTTGATGTAAAACCCAGATAGTTGTGCTTATCTCTCTGGGCAGAGTTCTGCACTCCCTCCTGCCTCTTTCACTCCAGTGACTCTGCTTTCAGAGCTCTCCACACAGCATGTCTGACTCTTACAGCATTGTTCAGCAATAAGTATTTTGTCACAGAGGTTTTCAAACACATGGGAGAAAAAACCACCGTGATAAATGTGGCTATTTGCACCACAGGATTAATCCAAAAGATACATCTGGTTGTGAAACTGAAAATCAGGCCAGTTTTAATCTCCTTGTCTTCTTTCATCTGCTACACTTTCACTGAACAGAGACACTAACTAGGTGAGTGAGTGGGTGAGTAGTGGTGTGTAAAAAGTGCTAGCTCAGCTTGCTAATTACTTAAACTGCTCAACTTAATGACAAATTTTGGCAGGTTCTGAAAATCATGATAGTAGTAACTGGCCCATGTTATATTGTTTCCATCTAAGCTTTCTGGAATAAATTAAACTGACCAGTTTCTAAAATAATATTTTTTATGTAGTACTTGGAACAAGAGAGAACAGAAGAAAAAACTGTTCTTTCACTTTCTACCGACACAAAGATACAAGTAGATCATTAAGAAACACTGAGGGAATAAATCACATTTTGGTTTTGTCTACTTCCTTTTCATAGATTTGTGGAAAGCTAGGAGTTAAACATCCATTAATACAGCTTCTCTTATCAAATAGCAAAATCTTTTATCAAGTTTTATTAAATGTCTTTTGATGGCAAAAAATTACACTAAGAACAATGTAAATAAATGAGAAGCAGATAATTTCAGTTCCTGTTGGAAATAAGAGACCAGATTAATGTAAAGATGATACTAAAAACAATTGTGAGTGGAGTAAAAAAGCCTCTGTTTACTTATATAGACAGTATTCAAGCCTAGAACAACTTGTGCAGTAATTGTAATGTGCATTTTGTACTTCAAAATATTTTGTTCTTCATAAATGTTAGAATTCATATCCTAAAGCACTCTAAGGTTCTTCATTTCTTTTTTCAAATTCTTCAATTTAGGGAGCCACTTTAGAATAAGACTTTAAAGACTTCTAAGAAAATAAGTTGTTCCTTGTTCATGTATGAAGACGAAGTGAACATAAAGGCTAGCCCTGGATGTCCAAAGATCCAGCCTTCCACCTGTTGAGATTTAGATCAGACTAAACTACCTTCTCTGCTTGTCTGGCTGGGTTTTCAGTGATAAGAACTCTAGAAAGGGGGCTATCACTATGACTTTCCAACAGTCACTTCAGCCAGTTAAGAAAACCAGTCTTCAGCATGCAGAAGCAGCAGACTTTATCATGACTGGTGAAATTATAATTCATTATCAAGTGCTCCAACAGAATCTATCCACCCATGGATCATAGAATAGTTTGGATTAGAAGGGACCTAAAAAGATCACCTAGTCCAATGACCCCTGCAATGAGCAGGGACATCTTCCACTACAGCAGAATGCTCAGAGCCCTGTCCAACTTGACTGTGAATGTTTCCAGTGATGGAGCATCTACCACCTCTCTGGGCAACCTGTTCTAGTGTTTCACCCCCAGTCTTGTAAAAAACTTTTCCCTTCTGTGTAGCCTATCTTCACCGTAACCCCCATTGGTGCTGCATGTGCTAAGGACCAGCCAAAGGCATTTGCTCAATACTGCTTTTTGTTCCAATGGAAGAGATCTGCTGGGAACAGGCAAAGTCACCAAGAATAAGTTACTCCTCCAGATTCAGTCATTTCATTGAGTCTGTTTTAAAGAAACCTGGGAATAAACCAACATGGGTGGCTGAACCATCTGCTGCTGGGCCTAGAGGCAGTCTTGAGTTCTCATTCAGAAAATGGTTACACCCCGCTCCCTGCTGTCCAGAAAAACATTTCAGAGACAGTTTTAAGGTACTTAAATCAGATGCTACAAGCAGAGAAATAACCACACCATAAATCTCAAATGGTACTAAGTATCTCAAATGTTTATTAAAATTCTCAGGTGGGAATCATAAACTGTGTTGTGCATTATGAAAACATTGAAAGTAGTACTTGGGCTAGCTAACTTTTAAGTTGCTTTGGATAAATCTTTGTTAACTACAATGACTACAATATTGGCAAATCCCTAGGTTGGAAGATTTTTCAAGAAAATACCCATTTGACAATACACTGAATAACTCACAGTATCTGTGCTAGTAAGAGCGATAGCAGTCCAATATCCAGCTGGGATTTTATTGACAAATACAAAGTTGGAAGTGTTGATAAAAAAGAGAATGTCAAATATTGTCAGAAACATGATTTTTTAGTAGGCCCAGTGAAAAAAGAGTTACTTAGTTTTGACCAAGTGTTACTTTTGCTTACATCACTGTTAAAGCAGGAAATTCTCAAGAAATGTAAAAGTATACATTTCAAACAAACCCTTCCCAAACTAACACTGCAAGGTCTCACAGAAATCTGTCTATATACTGTACTTACTCTGCCATTTTTGTTCTTATTGCTTCTTCCCTTTAATTATTTTCAAACTTTCATTCTCGAAGAAATTTCTCATATTTATACATCCTCTGCCCATCACTTACCTTCCAAAAACAATAATTAGGAGAAGATTTATGTCTAATTTGCTAAAATCACTTAATTATTTTTAATATTTTTATTATTAATTATTTTCCAATTAAGATTATAAAAATAAATAAAAATAAGGCGAAAGTTAATTTTTACTTTTTTTAATTAAAAGAATGTGGATTTGGTTTGGAGTTTTTTTTAGTTCCTCGGGTTACTATCACTTTTGTTGTCACAGACCCTGGGACTGGGACAGCATTTTTAAAAAGCATCTTCTAAATAAGTTAAACTCATGCCATACAGCAAACTAAAATTAAGAAATTATTCACATCTCCCATGGGTATAAATCTGCAAAATTTCTTTCAGGTAAGTTGTTTTATACTGATCTGCCAGGAAAGTGGTGGTGGGGAGGGCTTAATGCCCTTTTTCATCATTCTTCCCTTCTCCCTATCCTCTTATCATCCCTCTCTGACTGGCAAGACTTAAAGTCAGAAATATTTTCAGGAAGTTTTTATAAGTCTGGTGACACTTCAAACATGCTAGAGGGAGCCAAGAGAGAGATATTAACTAAGTAACTATATCTGTATGCATTAGCTTAAAAAGCAATTAGCTCCTGTAACAGGAGACCTAACAGATTGGTGCCTAGCAAGAGCGTATGTGATTTATTCTGTGTGACTGTGTCAAGAAGAGCAGTTTGTCCACCAGAGAAGCTAACATGTTGCTATATAAGAAGTAATGCACTTTGAATTCGTATTTTTAAGCTTGAAGCTGCTCTCAACATTTAGGGATCTTTTTTTAGTTTTCTGCTTCCTTTTTCCCATAATTATTTTTGACAACTCCATCCCTCCCACTCAGCCCAGAGTAAAGCAATGCAGTGAAAAAAGCATTGCACTTCCATCAAGTAAATGAGTAGTACTTTCTTGTCTGTCTAACCCTTCTCCTCTTCCTCCACCCCCAGGAAGCCTCAGATCCAAGATACTATAGAGGACAAAAACAGAAGATTCTCTCTCCTAAAAAAAAAAAGTAGAACTCTATTCACTGCAGTGACAACATCTGGCTTTATGTTAAAGCTTTTCTCACCTCCTACCCACCCCCAGATTCTCCCTGGTGTAAAGTGACCATCCCAGAAGGATGCATTTCACAGTTTTTCCTTAGCCATTACTTTGGACTGTAAGAATGGCTACAAGCAGAATTATTTTGCATGTGTCCAGACTAAGCCACATCTGAGCTCACTTTACAATGGTACTTGTTCTGGCGCAATTGCTTCTTGATTCAGTGATATCTGACGGTGTGATAACACTGAGAAATCACTACAGGCCTTGATAGCTTGTCCTTGTAGGTTTCTTGGCCTCTGGTCCTTGGGAGGAGGGAGATAGAGGATGAGTGAAATCCTGCACAGCTTCAGGTTGCACAGCTCAGCAGCAACCCAACCACACACAGCTGTTAAATTAGACATCTTTACCCTCCCCCTCATTAATGTGGACCACATTACCTATGTCTGAAGTCACACATTTTGTATCAGGTTGACATTACCTTCCTGGAGACAGCCTTAGAAAACAGATCCATGACTTTCCACCTATCTGAGGCTGAAGAAAATTACACAAATCTTCAGCTTCCCTTTCAGTAACGCTATCAAATATTT